TCAGGGTAGAAAAACTTTTCACAAACTCACGTACTGTTCCTATTTGTACCAATTCTCAAAGTTTTCTTTGGGCCATGTACTACACATTCTTAGAAAAGAATTGATCTTTTAGGTCTTGTTTAAGATCTACCAAGTTGTAATAAGGCACTCATCATTCATAAATTTTGAATGCCACCATAGCTTGGCATTATCGACAAGATACATTAAGGCTATTGCAACTTTATTTCCTTCGATTTTGTATGCATAGCTCGAAAGTATTACTTTATGTTAAACAATAAATTTTCAAGCTATTTTGCATCTTTTGCCCTCTCATAATGTCAAAATTATAAGACCTTGGCCCTCTTTCCTTTATCCATTGAGCTTGAACTCAATTTAGCCATGGTCATTTGCAGCACGCTAACTTGGGCCTTGAGCTTCTTGAACTTTTTTTGAAAGATGCTCATGACATTTCTTGTCTCAACACTCAAGACATTTAGAGTACCAAATAGCTCCCGTTGGGCTACCTCAATCTTCTTCAATTAGTTGTGGATTACCACATGAGCTTTTAAAGGGGCCACCATAACTTTAAGCTCTTTAATCCTCTGTCGATAATCTGATCCACCATTTGTTCTAGCCATTTTTACCTACCCTCTTGCACTTTTCAATTGTACTTTGATATTACATGTCACAGATTAATCTTTCTTTTAATGAAGTAATAGTCTGTGTGGCATTTACTTGGATGTTTCCACACAAGTCAGCCAAAGTAGCTTGAAATTTGAACAAGTAATAAGTAAGGCATAAATTATTTCAAAGATAGGCAACAAAATATCATGACATAATGGGTGCACACCAGCTCGACTCCTGGTGCCCCTGAAAGAAAATATTTTATTATTATAGATAAAGTCGCAATAATTACAAAGGGAGTATTGAGTTTTCCACCATTGTCGAAACCAAAAGAGCAATCCTAAATGGGTGATCTAGCATATACATTAACCAATGAGATAGCTCAACAATCCATTAATTGCTCATCCCCTCTAAAAAACTCAAGAATTTTTATAGCTATGTTACCAAAGATTATTATAATATTTGAAATGGGAATACTTTTTTCTAACACATAAGATTTATCCTCCCTTTGGCACTTCTACCCGATCATGATCCTATACAAGAGTAGCATGATATCCTATACCCGATTATGACCCTATACAAGATTGGCTCATGACACCAAAGGTGCGCATCTATCGTACCAATGGGCATACATCGAATATGTAAAGGAACTACATGAACTGAAAGGAAAAGTTCTCTTGCAAAGGTGTACAAGCATTACATGCCATTAAAAAGTCAAAGAGGGAAATCTTGTGGACAATGGAAAGGGAAGTTTGGCAAAATGGCCAAAAAACTTCTTCCTACGGACACAAAAGCTCCTAAGCTTCTAAGCTTGGACATCAAAATTCCAAAGCTCATAAGCTTGGACTTCTACAATTCATCAATTTTTCTCTTGGATGCCTACACTCCACTTTTACTAATAGTAGTTTCTTCTCCAATTGGGTCTACGTGGCCCCCAGGCCTAAGCCTAGGTTCATATCCATTCCATAGCCTTTCTGATTCCCTTCTCACATATAAATCACCATCCAACACCTGGCCATTATTCTTTTTTAAACTTTTTGAACCTGTGCCCAAACACAGAGAATCTTGTACGTTATAGGGGTGATATTGGATCAGATTGATTCGGATATTTAAATTTTTTTATCCAATTTGAGTTATGCGGATATTTTATTTTATGATCTGTATCCGATTCGCATAAGAAAAATATCTGGATAAAATCAATCCGCATAAATTCAGATCGGTTCGGATCAATTATTTGGATATGTATACATTAAAATCAATTTGCAAGGAAACCAATAGGCAAAGGAGATTGGAAACAAGCCAAAAACACAAAAACTAAAAAGCAAATAACTATGAACCATGTTCAAATAAAGAAATCAAAGGAGTGGAAACTATATAATAAGATTGAAGATCCATGATGTTTCTTGGAGTTAGACTATCAGAATAAAAGGTACCATGACTGTGTGAGGCAAGAGGTAAGGTTGAGAGAAAGTGTGAAATTGAGATAAAAAGAAATTGAAGATGATGATGTGCTGTGTAAGAGCCTAGAATGGGAGCGCTTAGAGGTGATCGTTGGAGGCTTGGATGGCATTAGAGTTAAAGATTGAAAGAGATTGAGAATGAAATCACTTAGATTTAGAGAAAGTAATGTTGGCACATGGGAAATGACGAGAACAAGAAATGATTTAAAAATTCTAATTTTTAATGGATATTTGAATTGTCTAAAAGATGAATGGGTAAAATAGTAAAAATGTGAATGGGTAAAAAATTTAAGTGTTTTTAGTTGGGCTTTAAAGCCTTGAACTTTGAATTAGATTTTTGAGTTGGACTTTTGGGTCATTGTTCAGTTTTAAACTTTAATTTTTGAGTTTTATTTGAATTAATTTAAATTTTTTAAAATTTGAATTGATTCAAATTTTTATGATTTAATAATATCATCTATCTAAATTTGAACTAAATTATTTAAAATCCATTTCAAACTTATCCGAATACTCTTATTCAAATCAATTTTTTGATTTTCTCGGTATTTTTACTAACTCAGCCCTATTAGATTGTCATCTGCTCCCGTTATTACTTTATTAAGAGCTTCATTGCTTTCTAGATTTTTTACATTTCCAGCAACAATCAAAAGGTACATCACTCTAGATCGTTGGTCATAATTGCCTTGCTTCTGTACATCACTCTTTTCAACCTCTCGTCTTTTACTACTTGAAGACGCCTCCTGAATTTTCCCTTTACCTTCTTCCTCAACAAAACCAACTTTGCCCAGAGAATTATCTCCTTCATAATTGAGTACATATTGACAAATACACGGATCTATTGGGAAACCCGAACAGGATAAGATAATTTTTCCACCTTCAACTGAATCATACCTTTTATTTTTTTGCAGTGAATCAGTAGCAACTTGAATAACACCCCTATAAAAAGATTGTAGCTTCAGCGCATCTTCATCCATGCAAATAAAGTCACCCCAGCAATTTGCCAGATTTTCGAAGGACTTTGTATTCCATACGGGGATTGGAACTCATAGGAGGTTACCCAAGAACGCCTTCCAAGATTAGCTAGCTTCTCTGACCAAATCTCATTATTCTGCAACCATTTCGATAGATCATCTTAGTTTTTGTTTTTCATATAGTCAAAATCAACATTATTATCGAAAGTAACAAGAAAAAAAATCCCCTAAAATGTTTCTAATGACAACCCCGTCGAATCCATCCATTTTAATGAGCTCGTGCAAAACTCGACCTTTGTGACTTCTTTATTTATGCCTACTATACTTCTGTCCGGTAAACGTAACAACTCATCATCCAACTTACCCAAACACTGCTTGTTATCCGTCGACCCCTCTGGACAGTCAGATAATCACCGTCTTTAGAACAATAGTCAATTTCATGAGGTGGTTTTGGATTTACGCTACTTCTTCCCACTACCAAGGCTTTGTAGATATGACCTCCTATAGTTCACACCATTGCCTTGTCTCTCGTGTCGTTGCTCTCTGCCGCTTTAATCGTTCCTCCTATAAGACTCCCACTTCGTCGTATTCTGTGCTCTCAAACATTCCTCCTCAATTCCCGCTTCCTCATTTTTGACCCTAGATTTTTTCTAAAAAGCAACTCTAGGATTAAACCTAGCTATATTCACTCCTATTTTCTTATCTAGGAGCCATACTGCCATACTCTATTTACATTTTTAAATTCCACACTACCCTCCTGACTTCTGCTATACTGATGTAAAGCGTACAAACCCAAAACGTCCTTCATTTTTATTTCTTTTCGTGGGATAAAAACATCAACAACTTTTTCAAACTTGCCACACACTTCTCCAGCCATCTCCAACGAACTTTCTAAAGAAGATTGCTCATAAAAAATTTAAAAAATTCATAACGCAATAGTTAAATTATAAATTTATTAATTAATATGATATTTAAAAATTATTTATCTGTTACATATAATCATTTAAAATTATTAATATTAAAAAAAATTATATTAATTAATAAATTTTTAATTTAAATATTATATTAAAAAATTAAAATTAAAATAATTTATTAAATATTTTATTATAATTTAAAATCATTCGTAATATTAATCATTCACAAAAATAATCACCACCATTTATTTTGGGATAATAGTTCTCTCTCCATGATAGTTCTATTCTAACATAATAAATTATCATATTCCAATTGTGTTCATAAATTTATACAAACCTTTAATCGCAACCTAATTGTGTTCAATTTATATTTATAGATATAAGAATCGATAATTTTTTAAATATGAATATTTAAGTATAATATAAAAAATTGGTAATAATTATAGTTTTCTAATAAATAAAAAAAATACTAGTGTCATGAATTACTTTAAAATCATAAAAGAAATTTATAATTATTATACGTTTATAAGTTGTACAAAACTGAAAGAAGTTCACCATAGCAAATTGCAATCACCTTAATAACGCGATAATTTTCGTTTCGCCTAGCCTGCAATAGCGAAAAATGCAAAGCGAAAAGCATCCAGATTGCAGTTCAAATCCGTGCTTCATATTAACTCTCCCCAGGTTTCTGATTGGCCTAAGCAACACAAATTTGCATGCCTTCCTTTGATTGGGCCGATATTTGTTGAAGATCTTATCCCAAAAAAAAAAAAGAAAAGAGCTTGGAAAATGAAAGTAGATGACTTTAAACAAAGCCCAGTGTTAGTGGTACGCGAGGATTATTTAATATTTAGCCATGGGAATGAATGATTACTGTAATTGGAAAATATAAAAAGGTTGGAACGGCTTGTGTGAAACGTTTGTCCAAGAATCTGTTAAAGAAAAAGTGAAAAATGAGCCAAAGAGAGGCTACTTTGAATCCTTTTATATAACTTGATGATCTTAGTAGTGATCAGGCTTTGCAAAGAAGAGTGGCTGAAGAGGTTAAGGAAATGGCACCGGTGGGATTACCTCCTGGTTTTAGGTTTCATCCGACTGATGAAGAGCTCGTGAATTACTATCTCAAAAGGAAAATAAATGGCCAAGAAATTGAACTTGACATCATTCCTGAGGTTGATCTCTACAAATGTGAACCATGGGAGTTGGCAGGTCTCCTCCCTTTACCTCTTTGCATTGTATATAAAATATATATTTATATAGTAAGGCTAGCTCTCTCATCATTTTAATTTCTCCTTTCTTTTTTTTTTTTTCTGCAACTCAATCTTCTATTTCAATGCAGCTGCGGTTTCATAGATAGTTTAAGCAATTGTCTGCAATGATAAAACACAGTATATTGGAAAAGTGCGAAAAAATTATGTCTGGGCATTATAACAGTCGAGCATTACAAGAAATGAACCTTCCCATTATGGCTAAATTGTTTTTCTTCACAAACTGTTCTCCTCCTTTGAGATTACATGTCACACACATGTTTACTTTTTTCCTTCTGGAATTATGATGAAAATGTGAAGCATTACCCCTAAATTTGTCATTAATTCCCGTCTTTGATATGACAGAAAAGTCGTTTTTGCCAAGTAGAGATCCGGAGTGGTACTTCTTTGGACCTCGAGATCGAAAATACCCAAATGGATTCAGGACAAACAGAGCAACTAGGGCAGGATATTGGAAGTCTACCGGGAAGGACAGGAGAGTTAGTTGTCAGAATCGAGCCATTGGAATGAAGAAGACTCTGGTTTACTACAAAGGCCGCGCCCCTCAGGGAATTAGGACGGACTGGGTAATGCATGAATACCGCCTTGACGATAAGGAGTGCGAGGACACCTGTGGAATTCAGGTAGTTGGTGCATGATAAAGTTAACGCAAATCATGTCCATGATGATGATGATATCGTTAGATGAGACAAATCATTAATATCTAAGCTCCATGAAAAGACATTAATTGCCTGCTTTAGTAAACATTATCTTCGTTACAACCATCACCATCTAATTTCAACTCTCTTGTCTTTTTCTTTCCCCTCCTTCCACTTATTGCAGTTAGATAGCCAAATAGGAGCAAAATCATAGATCCGCCATGGAGTTGTACTTTTCATCTACCACTTTTTCCTTTATTGCTATTATGTTTCAATGAGCACAGATCGACCTGAAGGAGTAGATTCTAGAAGCTAGGAGTGTTGACAATTTTTTATTATTAAGCCTTGGACTACTGAAACAAATTGCTTCCTTTGCTTTATAATTTAAGTGCTATGTTAATTGCGACGTTTTCCAATTTGACTTGAAAAGGATGTTTTCTCATTGAAGTAGCATTTTCTTTGTGTTTGACCACCTCTCTTTTTTAGAAATATAGCAAGATTAGACTGATGATAAATGGAGTGACGAAGTGTATTGACGTGGGAAATGCATGACTTGCATGGGAAGTTGGAGCATTAGACACTTTTGCTTTATCAATCTTTATTTACCCAAATATATAAGTCCAACAAATGGGTGAGATATTCGTTGCTTGCTAGGGTCTCTTATTAGATCTCTCAAGTCAGGAAAAGTTTGGCTTCACTTTGCCTTTTGTAATAAGACAAAGGCATTATCCTGCCAGAGACACCCACCTATTATTTTGTTTACCTTTTAAACTTTTCTGATCTAAATTTGTAGATTCTAAGGTTTGATTAGAGAAACCATTCAGGCTTCCCAACCAAAAGTTAACAGCCTCCACATATATACTTTGACAGCATAATTGGGGTGTCGGCTACTACTTTATTCCAAAACACCCCTATTAGCCAATGAATTTGCCATTCTAGCATTCCCCTTACCCCTGAGGCTTTTATAGGCTAAACGAATTCGCTGTTTTTTTTTTTTCTCTTTTAATTTATTTGCTCATTTATGTTTCTGTTTTATCTGCTGTGCAAGGCCCGTGCTTTTTCTCTTTTTTTAATACTCGAGACTACTAAGATTTGAACCTGATCACTGTTATCAAGAGTCCAATATTCTACCAGTACAGTAAGCGGCTGTTGGCAAGGCCTGTGCTTTTCTACGTCTTTTTTAAGGCTTCTCTTATCTGTCTGTCGCGCATTTTTAAAATTAAACTCATGCAATTGAATACGGAGACTGGATTCAAGATTTATATTTTCCTGCTGCACGTGTATACTTGCAGGATTCTTATGCACTATGTCGCGTTTTCAAGAAAAATGGCATCTGCTCGGAGACAGAAGAGCAAGGGCAGTGTAGTTTATCAGTGATGGAGTGCTCACAAGGTGTTATCAACGATTCTGAAACCATGTCTCCAGATCTTCCTTTAGCCTCATCTTCCTGCATCGAAGAGGAAGATAAAGATGACTCATGGATGCAGTTTATCACTGATGATGCATGGTGCTCTTCTAACACTACTGCCATGGCAGGGGATGGAAGTTTCTAATGTGGCATTATACAAACTAAAGAGCTAAAAGTTAAATTAAACATTCAAAAATCTTCCAGGTACTGGTGAATAACACAAGTTAATTGGCTAAGTTTCTTAAAATAAGACTCAAAATTACAAAATATATTTGTAAAATCTGATACTTCTCATTAGAAGATTGGTTTATTTCTTATTGAATGTACTGTTTTGTCACGTTTTGGTTGTTGGCTTTCATGGAGCCAATCTGTCACATGGCTCTATGAATTTTTGTTTTCACCTTTTCATGGAGGGTGATCGCTTGGGGCGTTACTATTGGAATAATAACAAGCAATCAAAGTTTGCACTCTCTTTAGCGTCACCAATTAAACTTTTGTGGCATTTTATCTATCATTATCAATACTATACATAAAGTTAATGCTAATATAAAAATTATTCTGATATAATTTCCATGGATACGTTTACTTTCACTAGAAAAGAAAAAGGGGATGGATTAAATAAAATAACTGCCACCACAGCATCAATTACCATTCCAAAATTTCAGTTTTACCTATCCCAGAAATTAGAGCAATTGTAAGTTGTGACGGAAAAATTATCCATCACAAATTTTTGTAAATGATTTTAGTCAACAGTTGCTGATTTTGTGACAGAAATTATGAATAAATGATTTCAACATATTATGACAAAGTTATTGATAAAATTGTGATAGATTTGTGACGAACCAAAAGTCCATCACAAATTCCGTCGCGGAGTATAGGGATAGTAATACAAGCCTTGAACTAATAAAAAATGTGTACTTTTGTAGGAATCAACTGACCTAATTTTCAGCCATAACAATCGATTGCCCTAGGTTTGGGTAGTCAATTTTCTTTTTGTAATTTTAGCTTAAAATTGTATCGAGAGTTTGAGATAGTTTTGATGCAAATGGCAGTCAACTACTTTGGCTTTGGCAGTTGACCACTCTTTATGGCAGTCTATGGCAATCAACTCCTTTTTGCATAGTAGTCGATTACGTCGATTACCTACGTGACAGTCATTTTATTTTGATTCTTTTAAAATCAACCTTTTGACCCTAGAATTATACCTTAAGCTATTTTATAGCTTAATATAGTTTTTCTTTGATTAAGTGTCATACTTAACCATCTATTAATTGGCAATTTCTATAAGCACATAGGTCGTTCAAATAATAATAGAGAACAAAGGTCTAGATATTTCCATGAAGATTAACTAAAAAATTCTTAGTTTAATTACCTATTATCCCCATTCTTCCTCTAAAGTTGACTCAATCGAAAAATGCATACAAGGTCAAACTAACTAGAACAAATGAGCAAAACAATGAACAATGCATAATTCTAGTAAAAAGTAAATTTGTAATATATAAAATGAGCAAGATAAAAAAATCAATTTAAAAAGTAGTCAAAATGGATTGAATTCAACTCAACATGATTTGAAATCTAAAACTAATCTAATAATTGAAAAGAAAAAGAACAATTAACAATCAAAATAGTAGCTTAAAGGTACAAACCAAATTAACTAACTAACAACCGAAAATAACTACTTTAACTACCTTGCAACTTATAATGAAAGAAACCTCTAGAAACTTTTTAAGAATTGATCTAAACAAAATGTGAATTGCAAAAATATTTTTTTAAGCTAAGATCAAAATAGAATTAAAGTGCAAGTGAAGAAGCAAAAATGCAAGATCTAATAAGAAAAACGAAAGCTGAATGCTCAATGTCAAATTTGGAAAAACCAAATGTGCAACGAGAAAATTTGGTCTAGGTTTCAACAAATTGAATGAACTTACTTTATAAATTGCAAAAACAATAAATAAACTAGGATAAAAATAGAATTAAAGTGCAAGTAACCAAAAAAAGAAAAAAAAGAATTCGCAAGTTACTATTGTAGTTGGAAACTAACAATTCTTTAAGAAAAACTTAGATCTACAACTCTCTAGATAAAATGAACTTAAATTGAGCTAAGACAATATAGACCTACAAATTTACTACTTAAATCAACAAAGAAATTGAATGAAACAATCAAAAACTAAGTTCAATAAAGTAAATCACAAATTGAACACAAGAACAACAAAAATAGAGGAGTTGAGACAAAACCTAGCCAAAAAGAATTGAAATGCTGCAGGAATTAAAAAGTAAAAAGTGAGAAAATAGCAAACCAAATGCCAGCTAGGAGAGAAGACACTTGAAGTGCTGTCACTCACTCAAACTTCAACTTAACTTTTGGATCTAACTAAAACTTTGAAGAATTTTTTTGGAAATTTGTAGAATGAATTTGATGTTGATCTTTAGATTTGTAGAACAATGAATCAAGAATCTGCAAAAAAAAAAACGATTGAAACTCACAATAATTAATCAAGATCCACTAAAAAACCGCAACTAGGTTAGAAACAAAAATTACTAAACAAGTTTGAGATTTAAGTGAAAATACATCAAATTGAACTTGAAAACTTAAAGAACATGAACTTTTATTGAAAGAATATTAAAGTGCTATAAAATAAAGGCAATAAAAGTAAATTTTGTTGGAAAATAAATGCAATTTTCTCCCAAACAGCCCTTTAAAAGAACAAAGAGGAAAATGTTTGGAAAGAGAAAAAAGTAAATGCAAGAAAAGAAAACTCTAAGAAAAAAGAACTAAAACTAGTCACTCTTTCTTATTTATAGGAAAATGTGAGGTGGTTTAACCAATTAAAATGCAAGAAAAAGCCAGCTCAGCTACCACATTTTTAGATCCCTTCAACTTACCTAATTTTCTTCCTTACCTTTTTTGCGTGCTTTTTCTTACTTCGCTTCAAGCTTCCTTCCTTTGATTTGGAAAGCTCCAAAAGGTCAAAATTATATCTAATGAGAAACCCTTAAATTGCCAACTAAGCAACTACATTTGATCCCTCTTTGAATCCTTAAAATGGTGCACAATCTTGATCATCATACTACATGCATCACACAGCTTAGATTGAATCCTTGCTTCCATTTTAACCAACTTGTAATCAATTTCTCCTTCAAATTCCAATCAAATATACACCATTTAGTTTTCAATTTATGCATGAATAATTTTGAAAAATTCTCAATTCCAAAATAGCTTCAAACTACATTAATGCACATATCACCTTTCTAACATATGTAAAAATACTACAAAGATGATAAAGTACTAGTGAGCTAAAAAGAACATTTTCAAATGAAAAGTATGAGAATTAAAATTTGAAATAAAGTTCAATGAAGCTCAAATAAGCTTAGTAAATTATAAAGAAAAGGATAAAAAAATCTCCCATAAGTGGCATTATAGCACGAGCACACTAATTTTGGTCTTTCATAGTTTTTTGCACTAAATTTCCTCCAAAATAAGTCCAAAAGCTCCAAATTTTCTCATTTTGTATATTTTCACCTGCACATTGAATATTTATGCATTTAAGAGTATTTTTGCCAAATTTCTCAAGGAATAAGCAAATGTTTAAGAGAAATTACACTAAAAAGATGTGATAAAATGCTGAAATTTTAGTGCAATCAACCATAATTTTCATATTTTGAAATCATTCTAACATTTCCCCACCATTTTCAAAATAAGGCAAGTTTTGATAGCTCCAAAAATCTTATGCACAGATGAAAATATAATATAGCATAATATAAAAGCTTCACTTTAATGATAAAGTGTCATTGATTTAATCAAATTGAATGGTAAATCTTAGATGTTTGAGCGAATCAATTTATCTGAATAGTCATGCACTAAATCACACATAAGACTTTATGTCCCACCAAAATGTCATTTAGTAATGCTTTGACACAATTTAAATGGCCATGTGTTCTACATATTCATGCATATTTTAAGAATCAAACCTTTAGCCCTTAAAAGCGATAGCACTTTCACTCACATAGGTGGACTCCATCAAGAATGCTACCATACAAGCATTTTAACACTTTATTTACATGTTATGGATCCATTAAAAGTTTATACTCATCTTCATATGGTTCAAATACTTATCTACCTTGGGATGATTTAATTTCAAACACTTGCAATCAATTTCAAATAATTTACTTGACTCATTAAAACTCAAGAAATAATGTACAATTATTCACTGAGTAGAGGTTCCATCATATATGACTTATTTTATAGGCTTAAGTCCCATCTCTTTAAAAGTTTTAGACACAATATCCTTTGAAAAACCTTTTATCAATGGATTAATCAAGTTTCCACTTGACTTGACAAAATCAATGGTGATCATCCCATCTTTTATGAGTTCTCTAACATAGCTATGTTTTAGACTAATGTGTTTTGACTTCCATTGTACATTTGTTATAAGCCTTTAAAAGTGTCGCTTGACTATCATAGTGTATAAATATTGGTGACATTGGTTTTGGCCACAAATGAATTTTAAATTGTAAATTCCTTAACTATTTTGCTTCTTTTTAAGCATAGGCCAAAGCCACAAACTCTAAAGCCATAGTAGAATTAGTTATGCATGTTTGTTTGTTTGAACCCCAAGAAATTAACTCCTACCAATCATTAATCCATCCTCTTGTGGATGAATGATTTTTCATATTGGTAATCCAACTTGCATTACTGTATCTTTCTAAAACCAAAAGTTCACCACTATAAGAAATGTCATAGTTCATAGTTTTCTTTAAGTATTTAAATACTCTTGCAATGGCATTCCAATGTAAATTACTTGAATTGCTTGTACATCTACTAAGCTTACCAACTACATAGACTATATTTGGTCTTACGTATATGTTAAGCAACCTATAACTTTTGTATATTCTAGTTGTGCAACTAACAACTCTTTAGTTGGAATTAACTTCAAATTAGGATCAATAGGTGTTCAAATTGTTGCACTTCCAAAATAATTAAACTTATTGAGAATTTTCTCACTATAATGTGATTGGATTTAGATTATATTAGAGAACTTTTTAATTAATTATTTTGATTCCTAAAATCATATTTGCAACACCCATGTCTTTCATAACAAAGTTGCTAAACAAAACCCTTATGGTATTTTTAACTTGTTCTAAGTCTATGCTGAAGAATATAGACCTAACAATCTAAAACACGATATGGTGACACGACACATACATAATAAGAAAATAGGACACGAAGGTGACACGACTTAAAATTATAGCAATAACTATATATAGGCTAAACA